TTGTTTTGTGCTGGGGTCGGTAGTGGAGGGTGGGGCGGGAAACGGTACGTATTACGGTACCGCAAGTTGCTCCGGGTCAGGATGGGATACGTTTCGGTGGTCGTGTGCAGGTTACGAGTAGGACACAGCAAGAGATAAAGAACAGGTTGGAGGAATGATGAATGATGGAATTAGTTCTAGCGGCCATTTGTCACTCATTCCAGTTTGAGCGACACAACCAATGTATACGTGCTGCCGACGTACGACGCCCACCGAATGCACCCCAAGGCCAGCCCAATCCAGTACCAAAATTCCAAACTCCAGACACGCCATTGCTCCACCGGGCCCAGAGAGTATCAGTGATGCTCTTCCACCGCCAGGTTATACCGCCCCAGCAGCAGCTCGCCTAGGAACGTGCCCCCCAATATGGACAAGAAGTAGCCGACGTTGAGCGTCATAACGGCCAACATGCTACATCGTCCCCATTAGCATTTGGTCATTGCGAGGATCTAGAAGCACACTCACAGCAAATACCCCACCCCCACAATAACCGTCACAACGCACGCCCTCGGCCCATCCACACTCCACCTCCACGGCACAACCCCATGCACCGGCCGATGCACAACCTTAACCTCCTCCTCCACGCCATTCGCCGTCAGCAACGCTGTCTTCACATTCGGCTCCGTGCTCGCGCGGGCCTTCTCTGCGACCGAAGCCTTATCCGCGACGACTACGAAGCGCCTGTCCCAGGCTTTATCGATCCAGCGCTTTTCGAGGATGTGTTTATAGACGAGGAGTGCGCGGAAGATGCCCGCGAGAGCGATGAGGAAGATGCAGGTGCCGGCGTAGCTGCCGGTGCTGTTGGGGGTCCAGTGTTGGGAGTAGAGGGGGGTGTGGGGGGAGGTGAAGAAGGTCATTTTCATGTCGGAGGCGTCCATTGTCATGGCGGAGGCGGGTGCGGCCGCGAGGGCGGCGAGAAGAAGAGAAACCATGGGAGTGGGGGCGGGTTGAGGGTTTGCGTGAAGTGTGGACGGTGCAGACGTGAGGGCGAGGAGTATTGATGTGCGATTTAACGGCGGATAGACATACGTCGAGTTCGAGTCGAGTCGAGGTGTTTGTGGAGGTTGAGTGTGGGGAGAATCCTCACACAAGGGAAAATTAGTGGCCGGTGCCGGGTGTCGCGGGCGCGGGCGCGATTAGAGCAGGAATTGATGATGTGAGCGGGGTGTGGAACGGCGCGGGGGCCAGCGCGCATTGTAAGAAGACCGAGTCTCTTGAGTCGTGGATTTACCTCCGCGACGACAGGCGGCCGAGAAGACGAGCGCTTAGGAGTTCCTTTTTCCGCCTGGAGGTGGACTTGTCCTTGTTCTTCGCATTACTCGACTTGCGGCGTTCTCTCACGCGCAAGTTGGGATGTCGAACTGGACCATAGAAGTCGCTCGAGAGAACCCGGGGTGTGCAGGTAAGAGAGACGCGACTAGACCCGTCGTGGCGAAAACCTTCTCAATCATGCGCACACCAACCTGAGAGGCTGGGCGGGAGCGGAGACGTCAAACAAAGAAACCTGAGGGGGTTTGCGGCGCCTCTTGAGTCTCCGAGTACACGATGCTTCGTGCCTGAATGCGCGCGGCTGTTATGCGCTGCTGTTAAGCTTGGGGTTTTATATATGTGTGGGTTATACTTCAGTCCAATACGACTCTGGACCTCGAGACTGTGCGTCAGTTTTGTCTCTGATTGTGGCTTGAGGCGCTACCCGTAGTGGGATAGGTGGGAGTGGCGGGCTGCTAGTGGGAAGTCCAAGCTCCCTTGATATGCCGACCATCTTGGGCAGGCCGATGATACGACCCACACATCTTTTGTCGGCTCATCCTCCTTCCCGCTTTAGGACTTTGCATGGTCTTGCTGGAAAGAATTCCAATGGTTGCAGAAGTAGTCGCTTTGGACGCAGTGCGAGTCTGACAGGTTTGAAGTCTTCTCTTGGGCTGTTCCCGGGCGCGTGGTCATCCGTACGGCCCGAGAGTGTGGAGCTTGCTTGCGACTGCGATTCCTACGTTCTCATCCGCTTTTACATCTCACCTCACTTCGCATCGCACCTCTTTCTACCGTCTCTCTTATACTCCATTCTCTGCCTATGGTACCTCTTCCTCGTATACTCCGAGTCGATATCTAACCCTCCATCACCGCCATCATGATGGACATGGACATGGGCGACATGGACATGGGCGCCGGCTCAATGTCCATGGGCCCGGGCATTCCGTCGCTCTTCGAAGTCCAGAATGCGTACTGGGCTGTAATCGGTGCTGCTGTTGGTGTAGCATTTCTGGCCAACCTCACAAACATGTTCTTGCACCGTCAACGGTACGTCTCCTCTAGTGTCAAAAGTTGTGATCCTTTGCTCATCGTACTGCAGACTATACGCCGCGCGCAATGGCCTCCCCTCCCCCGCAAAGCCGAAATCGCTCTTCTTCACGCTGTACGCAACCGTGACGGCAGTCATACGGGAAGCGTCAAACGCGACATTAACACCGCTCAAAATCCGCAACTACCATGTGCGCATGCCAACGGTAGGCCAAACCGTCCTAGTACTCGCCAACATGGTCGTCCTCGTCGTGCTCTGCTTCTACGGGTTCGACACCACACTCCGTGTCAATTTCGAAAACATCGGGTATCGGACTGGGTTCGTCGCCATTGCCCAAATGCCGTTGTTGTTTCTGCTGGCCGGGAAGCATAACGTCATCGGCTGGCTCTCCGGCATGAGTTACGAGCGGCTGGCGTGGTTGCACCGCTGGGCTGCGCGCTGTTTCCTGCTCACTACTTTCCTTCACTTTGGCTACTGGTTGGCTGATTGGTGGCCCTATGGCGCGTGGAAGTACCAGAAGATGGCTGGTGATCCGATCACGAAGCACGGCATCATCGCTTTCGCTGTCCTGCTCTGGATTGTAGTCTCCAGCTCCATGCCTATTCGGGGATGGAACTACGAGTTCTTCGTCGTCCAACACTTGCTCTCGTTCACTGCCTTTGTCACGATGGTCTACATCCACACGCCCGTCGAAGTTCACCCCTGGATCTGGGCCTGCGTGGGCATTTTCTTCTTCGATCGCGTCACTCGCTGGCTTCTCGTCCTTTACACCAACATCTCATACTTCCACCCGAAGCAACGCGCCTCAAAAACCATGACCGGTCCATGGGCATGCCGCGCCCAATTCACACCCCTCTCCAACGACACCACACGTATCACCGTCCACGACCCTCCAGTCAATTGGGCACCGGGCCAACACGTCTTCCTCTCCTGCCACAGCGTCGTCCCATTGCAAAGCCACCCCTTCACCATCGCCTCGATCCCCCGCGACGGCAAGATGGAATTCTACGTCAAATCCGAAGGCAAAGCCACACGCTCCTTCTTCCGCCACGCCGAGCGCCAACATGGCGCCCTTCCCGTCGACGAGCGCGGGATCCAGCGCTCCGAAGTCCGCACCGTCGCCATCGAGGGCCCATACGGTCGCGTCCGCCCGCTACGCCAATTCGACTCCGTCGTTTTGATAGCCGGTAGCTCCGGCGCTAGCTTCACGGTCCCCCTACTACGCGACATCGTCACAGGCTGGGCCGAGCCCTCCACACCTTCGTCGTGGAAGGACTGGATCACCCCCCGCGGCGTAGCCACACGCCACGTACGCTTCGTGTGGGTCGTCAAGGCGCGCGGCCAGGCGGAGTGGTTCGCCTCGCAGCTCTCAGAGGTCGCAGCCGAAGTCGTCGCTCTGCGCGAAGCGGGCCTATCCATCGAAGTCGAGATGTCAGTCTACTGCACCTGCGACGACGGCTTCACGGCCGAGCACCGCTCCTTCCTCGCCGAACTCGCCCGCGCGGTCGGCGACGGCGGCGAGAAAGTCCGGGGTCATCTCCCAGGTGGCCGTGGCACGCCGCTGCCCGAGAAGCTGCCCGAGAAGGAAATCGAGGCTAAGAACGGCACGACGACGACTGAGTACGCTGTCAGCCCTGCCCCCGGCCGTGTCAGCATCGATGACGCTGAGGCTGAAGGGTGTGGGCCGAACGGGTGCTGCTGCAAACGCGAAGTCGAGGATGAAGACGAGGCGGGCGAGGCCGCGGAGTGCTGCTGCTGTGGGCCCGCTGAGGGCGACAACGGCCGTATAAAGGACACGCCTAGCACCGCTGCCACCGCGCCCAGCGATGCGAAAATCGAACCCCCAAAGCCCGCCGACCGCCCGACCTCCCTTGCGACAACCACATCCTGGACAGCCGGCGCCACGCCACGGAAGAGCCTGCTTCATCCGCGTATTGCGGTGCTATCGGGCCGTCCAGCGTGTGCGAATGTTATCCGGAAGAGCCTGGAGCAGGCGAGGGGGGAGAGTGCGGTGGTGGTGTGTGGGCCCGGTGGGCTTGTGAGTGATGTGCGGAGTGCGGTCGTGGGGCTTAGTGATGAACGGGCTGTGCATAAGGGGACGGGGGCGCAGGGGATTTGGTTGCATTGTGAGGGGTTTGCGTATTAGGGTTGGGTATGGTGGAGTTTTTGGGGGTAGGGGGTGGGTTGGGAAGGCGTTTGGTGGGACATTGTTTGTGATGGTTAGGAACATCGTCATACTTGGAAGGCGCACCTATGTGAAGAAGGACAGCTTCTTCTTGATACCTTGGAAATGCCATAATGCTATTATCTCAATGCGCTGAACATTGCTTCAAAAATGAATGTGTCTCGTCTTTTCTTGCTCACATCTTGCCGGCTAGATGGAGTGAGAGACCGTATTCATCCTGATGGGAGCAATGGCTCGTTATGCACGTCAAGGCAACTGTAAAAGTGAAGATTGAAGTAGAAGACAAAGAGAGGAAGAGAGTCAGCGACTCTCGAGATTTTTATATGCGATGCCAAATATCCTACTTTGCTCCTTCCCTCCATCATGAGCTCAATACATCATGTCCCTTACATAAGAATGCTCCTTCCATGCCTACATAACCTTCTTCACATGCAGCAAAAGCTCTAACCCAGCATGGGATGAAAGGGCAAAAAGGGTTGTCCCCAGCGAGAATCGAACTCGCGGCCTTCGGATCGCTCCAATCTAGGACTGGATCATACAGAGTATGAGACCGACGTGATAACCGACTACACCATGGAGACTGGTATCAGATGATTGGGATGGAACACGTTCAACAAGTATATAATCTAGGCAAAACATGCTGCCGTGGGTTGGTTCGGATGACATCACGCCGTCATGGTCTGGAGGACGTATGCTGAAAGACTGGATATGGGATAGGCCGACTAGGATGCGGAAAAATTTCTTACTGTGGGCGTTCGGCTAAGGGCTTGGGCATGGCTATCGGTCCGAACGACAGCGCACTGTGCTCCGCTGTCGATGGGAAGGGCCCACGTGGATCGAGCAAGGACAAACACAGCGCTCGAAGCTGAACTTTCTGTTAAGGTCGATCATGTTCACCCTCTAGTCCGCAGTTCTCGCCTTCCAAGCATCTAGCGATCCTATACGACTTTCAACACCACCTGTCATAGCGCGATATGCATACCATCTCTCTGTCTGCCTCCGCCGAACGTCGTCAACTGCATCCACTCCTAAAATTCTGCGAATAAAAGTCTACAATCACCATCATATCTGGTTAGGCGATCGCTCAGACGCGCCGCTCGCGTGCCGACCATCCAGAAGAAGCATCGACTATTCACATCGGCCTGCAAGTGCGGGAGCGCTAATGGTACCTGCAGTACCCCAGATCCGCACAATGGACGCGCGCCTGTGGATGAATGCCACAATACAAATGGCCGCAGCGGCAAAGGGCCATGGAGAGTGGACGCCTGCGCGCTCAAGGAGGGAATTCGACGCGTGCCCTGAAAGCTGACGGAGCGATGAGCGAATCTGCTGATGCACGTATTTGATACGACCAGACGTATCCTTTCGGCTCTTGTCCAGTCCGCTGGCACGACAACCAGTCGAGCTGCGCTCGCTGTACTGGCTGTCGATAAAGCGCCAGTTGTACCCACTTCCTTCCGCCAGCTTTCGCCCCATCTCAACATTCTGTCTGCAGTCTGAGCAGACTCGAGCCATCAATCCGATCTGATGAAACGCACACCCCATCTCCATTTTTGCACTCGGCGTTCGCCGCTTTTGGCTGGCTGACGCATTGACCATCCCCCCAGTCGAAGCGTACTGTATTATGTCAGCAATGAGCCTTCACGTTCCCACAACTCCTGGAGACCTCATCTTCTCTGCAAACCCGACCTTCTCACCACCCCGTTACCTCAACCCACACGGCGAGCCTTGACAAACATTTGCATCGCGTGTCAAATCCGCTGCGCAATCGGGCCCGTTGTGTCCGCGAGCGTCTGCAGTGGGTGTCACATCCGGGCTGACCGGTTCAACACCTCCTCTCTCCGCCTCATCCTTCCCTTGCTTCTCTATCTCATCCACAACGCATCTGTATGAGAATCGCGGTACCGCAGCCGGTATCTCACTGTCCTTATCCCTAGCGGTCCTCGTCCCTAGATGCTGATGGCTGAGGGCCGCAAGCGCGCCGCCGAAGACGCAGCGGCGATCAAGCCCCACAAGCGGCGCGAGGTCAGCGCACATAACAACGTGGCCACCAACGACAGCGCAGCGGCCGATGGCCACCACAACGATGTGATCAAGTTCGGAACTGCCGGCGCTGCCTGGCAAGTCGATCTCGAGGTATGCGTCTTGTATCCTGGGTGGCGTTGTGCATCGCGGGCAAACTGACGTCGCTCCAGACCTTCCAGAAAGATGCCATTATGCGCCAGATGCGTGAGCTGAAGCGCGAGAAGCAGGTCCTCGAACAGCAGCTGAAGGCCGTGCAGGAGCGCTCGGAGTTCCATGACGAGCACTTGCGCGTTATCGATGCGTGGCTCGCTCAGGTTAGTCACGCGCATTATCTACACGGATGGTCCTCACTCTCGTAGTTGATAGATGAAGTCAAGGTTGCTGTGGGCAAGACTGAGGACTCCACCAAAGGTTTGATCCCGGTCCATGCGGTATGCTCTAGCTAATGCACCGGCAGATATCCTCCCTTCTGCGCTCTACACCGCCGATGGTATCAACTTCCGTGAGCGTCTGTCCGCTGTCTCTGAGGAGGTTAAGGCCGTCATCGCCGCCCTGTACTCTAATCTGCCCGATGCGCCTCCAGAAACGGTTCAGCTCCAGAAACGCGTGAACGAACTGCTTGCGGCCGAGAAGGGTCATATCGCGGAACTGAAGCGCATGACTGTTGAGAGACACAATTTGGACGAGCGCCTTGAACTTGCATCATTCAGATACCTGCGCGCTGAGCGGACACTGGACCGCAACAGGAGCAAAGCCGTCTCAAGTGTTGAGATGCAAGGCCACCATCAGTCATCTGTCTCTCAGTCGGAGAATAAGCCGGAAACTACAAACGGGGTCCACGAAGTCTTGAGCGAGGATGCGCTGCGTGAGCACTCAGAGGCGGTTGCGACAGCTGCAAAGGTCAAGGAGCAGCTCGCCGCCCTGGAAGCGGACAACACCAAGTTATCCAAGGAGGTCACAATACACAAGGCCAAGCTGGAGAGCCTCTCGGACGAAGACTTCGCCCAAACGGAACTTTTCAAGGTCATGAAGGCACAGTTGGAGGACAGCTTCAACAAGCTCAACGACCTGGAGGCTACCCATATCCAGCTCCGGGAGGAGGCCAAGAAACTTCATTCCGAGCGCACGGCGTACCGAATGCAGGTTGATGAGGAGTGTCGGGTTGCCGTTGCGCGCGCGGACGAGCAGGCAGTTAAAGCCGATACTGACCTCCAGCGCATCCGGGCTACCCGTGATGAGCTGGCAGCCACCAACGACGTGCTCAGGCAGTCCTTAACCAAGTACGAAGAGCCTCTCAAACTGCAGGAGGACCTGAACAAGGGCAGCCAGCATCGCATCGAGGCACTTGAGGCCGAGGTCGAGCGGTTGAAGGTGCAGGCGGGCGAGGTTCAACCAGAAGAGGGCGAAATCGCCAAGTACGAGAAGCTCGGATTCGAAGCCGTCTGCGCCGAACTTGTGAATCTGAAGAAGTCATACTCGCTTCTGAACACCGAGCTTCAGTCGATGGAGCAGGCGTACAAGAAGGCGCAAACCCTGGCTTTTGGAAAGATTAAGGAGTTCATCGAAAGCGAAACAAAAGCAGCCAAGGCGGCTGCTGATAAGGCAAAAGCGGACCAGAAGTACTTTGCAACAATGAAAGTCAAGGAGGCATATGAGATGGAACTTCGGGCGCTCAGGAAGCACAACAAGCAGAGCTCCGGTCTCATCGCCGCCATCAAAGACAGGGAGGCGAAGCGTCTCGAACAATGTGCACAACTTGAGAGGCAGGTGGCGGAGCTTCGCGATGCGATAGGCGTCATGACTCGGGAGCATCAGGCGCTGGAGCGCAAGGGAACGGATGCTACGACACTTTCGGAGGGCCTCTCGACACAAGTCAAGAAGCTGCGCGAGTCGCTGGAGGAGAAGGATGCTGCGTTGCGTGCCGTTGAGACCGCGAAGCGTGAGGTGGATGCGGATATTGAGGGTCTCAAGTCCAAGGTCGATTCGTTGAAGAAGAAGGCAGAGGAATGGCGCAATCGTGCGAGGAGCAACCCTACCGAGGAGGTTGAAATGCTCCGGGTAAGTTCCAAGCCATCCGTTCTGATATTTCGTATTTCTAACTGCTATGAAGCGCGTTGCCTACTGCGGCACCTGCCAGCGCAACCTTAAGGACACCATCCTCCGGACATGCAACCACCTTCTCTGCAAAGAGTGCGTCCAGGAGCGCATCAGCAACCGCATGCGCAAGTGTCCGATCTGCATGAAGCCCTTCGGAATCAACGACCACGCGACCGTCCACCTAGTGTAGCCCCTCTGCTCCGCTCCGCCTCCGCCTCCTCCTCCCTGGATCTTCACATCTCCATAGACACACGGTTTGGTTAATGGACACCATTCGGCTATGTTATTTAATTCCATTGTTGACGCCGTGATCGGGCTCTGTGATCTCTATGTTTTTTTCTTTGCGTTTGTGTTATTATACCTTCTGCTTTACTCTGAGACCGAGCGGCGCTGAGGTCGGAGTTGGGGAGCGGTGTTTGAGACTCGGGGCGCCGGGGGGGCATGTTTGACGGTCCTTGGGGGCATGGGATGGGTCTTTGCGTGTGTGGGGAAGCGGCGACTGGCTTTAGGGCGTTTTTCTACGGCATGAGGGCTGGGGGACGCGTGGGGAAATGCGGAGATGGAGCGCAGGTGCTGGACGGAGGGATCATGAACCTGTTGGCAGACGGGCTGCTAGCTGGGGCTGGATGGGCGACGCGCTGTCTTTCAGCGTAGAGATGAACCGCGATGAAGGGGTTGTATGTTCCTCAAGCGACCTTTCCTCAGGGAGGAAGCGCTCCTCCCGGTCGAACTGACGATGAAGACATGGTCGACGTTACCATGGGACAAGCCGATGACAACGGTGGAAGAAGTGTTGGGATACAGTGCCAAATTATTCGGAAGCCGGGACGAGTTAATTGAAGAAGCAGTAGCAAGGCGTCAAAGACTAAGGGAGGAGGCTGCGGAAGAGAAGCAGCAGCGCCAGTGTTCCTTCTGCCAGGGGTATCAGTCTCAGCGCCCTCCCTTAGTCTTTGACGCCTTGTTACTACTTCGTCGTCCTGCCTTTCAAACAATTTTGCCCTGTATCCAACAACTCCGCGGTTGTTATCTCCCGGTCCCACGGTAATGTCGGCCAGGTCTTCTTCAATTCGATCGGGTGGACCGCTTCCTCCCTAAAGAGGAAGTAGTATAGGGTCAATCCCGTCATCGGCTCAATAGTTGTGCGGTCGGCCCATCCCACCGCTGTAAAATACTTTTTCCAAGATTCTTTCCCACCGCCCGTTAACTCCGTCAGCACTGCGATGAACGCCTTATGCCCCACCTCGACGTGCCCCTTTCCCTGCGAAGTTGTAGGGAGGTATCTTGATACCCGGGTATAGCACTGAGAGAACGTCCGTCCTTGCGTATGTGTCTGCCATATCTCCAGTATTAGAACTACAGTATGCCCGCACTCTTGAACTGCGTTCATTAATACGAAGTAAGCGACTTTGTAGTCCGGCAATATTTATCTCCCCAAGCCGATCCACCACCCGGGCTCCAC